AGGATGGAAAATAAAGCACTTTTAGCCATTCCAGTGTTGTTACTGAGTAGGATGATGTATTCTTCCCATAAAGAGAGTTGTATGCTCAGAGTCCACGATGCAAAAGAGGAAGGGGTGTTCAACTTTGAAGACCACCGTCCTCGAGGCGGGAAGAGCCGCTAAGCGAACGAATTCCACAGCTGCAAATAAAAACCACAACGCCCGTATCAAGAGGTTTCCTCAAAACCTTTCGAAGTCTGCCATAAACATATGTCTTGCCGTTTCCAACGGCTCTTAGCTCTAAATATCGCTATAAGGCCCACATCAGCAGATCTGCTCGTTAGATTTCAATGTCTAGTAAACACAGATCCTATAGAATAGAAATGCTACCTCACTGTTAAATACGAATATGGGTTATCCCAATAATCGTGGGACTTCGATCATTTTATAAATATTATAACAATATCAGCGTATTAAGAATACAACATAAAAAGTTATACCTATGTAACATAATACGAGAACCTAAAGGTCGTTGCAGGAGCCCCAGCGGCCTAAGACATGAATACCTCCGAGATTGGGCAAGGAACAATTCTTCAACGACGCCCAATCATCATTTCATGTTTCATATTACAATTTCATGCACTGTACAGAATGAAAACCTTCGTGAATGGAAACCTCTGTAGACTGAAATGTTGAAAAAAACGAGTTGCCTCGTATAGCTAACACTAACTAGCAGTTCTAAAAATTGTAAGCAGCTGAATATAAAAACCATTTACCATAAATAGTTTAACCAGAAAATAACTTATATTTTATAGAAAGCTCCCTTGAATTTGGTTTTAAGCAAGAGAACTGGAACATTTCTGTAGCATTCTTGTACGTTAAAGCAATTTGATTGAAATTTGGATCAGAGGAAATTCATATTTAAATTCCAAACTCTGTCAGTCATTCAGCACAACGAAAAACATTTTGAAGTTTCTGCTATTCATTAAGAAAGCGCGTGCTTGCTGAAAATGAGAGCGTGCTTATACAAAACTATTTCCGTGCTTTGCAAACAATCACAGTGCCACACGTGGAAAATGTGCAAAAGAAAGTTTTGCCGACATACCGTCCATTTGGATTCACTAAAGCATTCAGATTACGGGTGCGTCATTCGCCCCAAAAACATGTTGCAGGCGTGGCTTCGAGAATTCACGAGGAGAAATAGAAATGGGCGATCGACTTTGAACGTTACAGATGGCGCCGGCTGATACGCAGAGTACACTGCTACGACAGCTGCAATAATTAAGTTGTCATTAATTTTGTTCTGAAATTTAAAGGTGTATAAATATTAACAAATGGTTCCTCTAAGATGAAATACGTCTTATGCCCGGATATACAGTTTAGGAATTAATTTCCTAGTGCTCCTCAGACCGATAGTAGAATTTCTACAACAGTAAACATTTCGAACGTTGGATAAATGATGCATTTTCTTGACATCTATACACTATTATTGTGTCTGATGCAATGTTTATGACACTCGAAGGGTCAACTTCAAAGTGATATGTAATTTTTACCCTCATCGTTTGGCTCTATGCGGATAAGTAATTTTCGAGATGTTCTCTCCGTCTATTCTACTTGCTGACAACATCACTGCGACCCAAAAATGATCGTCTAAAATTCACAAAGCTCTGTATATGGTCCGGAAGGGGATCTTTGAGGTGACTGAGGCGAGTCTGTCACGAAAAAAAAGACTGCGAAGACGGGACCTATATAAATGGCCTCCTCGACAATGACAGAAACCAAAACCAAGCTGGTCGGTTAACCTGTTTTGAACGACGTCTTTCTCTCCAGATTTTCAGAAGACTGTTCGTCGTTTAAAGCCTCTTTAACACAAACGTCTACAGGTGACCTTGCCAGGTGGTAGTCATTCGGTCGATTACCGACTTAGGTAGCTCAGGACATCAACTGATGTCAGTGATGTTATTGCCGTGGCTGTGACCGGGAGGTTCGAGGATTCAAGTCTCGACGTTGGTAAGATTTCCGACACTAGATATGAAGCTAGGTTGAGTTCAACCGTGAGTTCAGCGGCCGATTGCTCTGATCGGTAGTCGTTTTTTTGTGTGGTTTATCCGATTAACGCCAGGCGAATACCGGAGCAGTACCGTAACAAACGGGCCACGGATCGCGCTCATTTTCGTCCTTACTCTAATCTCACCCCCTTCCTTACACACGCACACACACACACTAACATGCACTACACTGCCACACATACCAGGGGATCATTCGGGACCATGGAGCTTGTCTCGGCTCGGGCGGTGCGGCGTTGGTGGGAGACACCTGGTTGGGGAAAATCCTGCATGCCGACGGGTAGGTGTGCGTCGGATCGTCATCCAGCGAGGGAAGATCACCGCCCCCGCTCGCGATAGAAAACAAGCACTACACTTATGGGACTAATGATATTAGCAGTTGATGTGCTCGGAATCATCAATCATTCGGTCAACGAGTAGGAACGGGAAACTCTGTGAATACTCGGAAGTTTGAAGGCGTATTCAGAGTGTGTTGAGAACAGAAGGTGCATTCACACGATACAAAATCGTGCTACTACGACATGCGAAGAATACATCAACGGAAAGGTATGTGTACGTACCATCCTTAGTGCCTGATATCTCATCCCATTCCAATCACGGGTACAGAACTCGTCCTATGAACATAGTTTTCCGATAGGGATCCGAACATAGGGATCCGATTTCCACTATGTATGAGAAGAAACATAAATGGTCGATCGACTTTGAATATCACTGGTTTTGGACGTTTCAATGATTTCGCCACTTTAGCAACTGAAAAGTAATGAATGTGAGGATGAAATCACTTGAGTAATTGCGGGGGGAGGGGTGAAGAAAAAGATAAAACATTTTGTTAGTTATTGTACAGAATTTCTTTCAATAAGTTTAAATAAGGTGAACTTTATATTTCCCAAAGTATTTTTTACTTTAATAAACAAAATGAATCCCAGAAATCGAGACATCCTCTAAAAATATTTTTCATTTTTATTTAACACACGTTAAGCTAAAGAATGTTCTGTTCACAAAAGTTCTATTCTTTATCTAAACCACCTTACAACCCTGTACAGAACTCAACATAAAATCAATTGCATTTGTCAATTGTATCGTTAAATTTGTTATATAATTCTTCTCACGGAAGATTTTATTCATTTACTAGAAAAATATTAAATGGAAACAAAATAGTTCAATGGAAAAGCGAGGCCTTGAGAGACCCAGAAATGTAGTTGTCTTTCTAGTTTTGGGTTGCGCATGTCTGTACTGATTTTAATAAAGCACTTAAAATCGCAAACTTCAGTAGAACCCCAAACAGTTTTGTTGGACTTGCTTTTTTATTGTTTTCAAACGAGTTTTGACACATCACTTCCACAGAACGGCTTAACACCGAAAAGTGTCTGCTTTGAAACGTGTCTTTGGCTAATTTCAGTTATCGACTTTAATAACGAAGGACTGGATCTGCCTTTGGATGACGTCAAATGCTTCTCTTCGAATTCATGTAAACCAGATTGTGTTTAGTCGAAGCACTGTATCTTTTTTCAATTTCCCCCGTAATGTATAACTATTGAACAATATTATCTCAAACAAAAACTTAGTAAAACGAACAGAAACAGGATGCATCACACCCAATCACATCGCATCATTTCTTTCACATTACAAGTCCCCCATCTCGATCAGGTTTTTCGCCTAGAGTCCCTGATTTTTTGAGCACATGTTGAGATGGACCCTGCTTTTACTTCCGGACATAAATGTAACTTCATTATCTGTGCACGTCTTCTAGAGTTTAGTGGGGAAAATAGTTATTCAAATTAGCGTTCTCCTCGTTGATGCTGCAGGAAGTTCGTTTATTCCCTGACGAAGGACATGATGATGGATAAGAGACTAAACTTCTAGCTGATTTGCCTTTGAAAATATATTTTATTCTATCTGAGCAAATATTTTGCTGACAACTTGTCAAAAATGCTCATTTCCTTCTATATTCAGAATTCAACTAGTATATTGTTTGGGGAAGGGATCCCAGAATGAAGAAAACCCCATAACACGTCACACAGTTTGTTTTAGACCTAAAATAAATAAATAAAACGCAAGTTCACACTGTAGCGAGTTTTAATGGCGCTTTTCGCCGAGGACAGTCGGAAAGTGCCGAGATTCTCCGAAACCAGTGACGAGTTAAACCAAAGTGCAAATCGCCGTGAAACAAGATTGCAGATCGCTGCAGCTGGTCACGAAAAGCGGCGGCGAGCTCTCGAGTCGGTGTGCTTCTGCGATTTTCTCGTTGCACGTCTGTTTCTAGCCTGCTTCTACACTAATACTCTTTAGATATGCGTATGTATTGACTAATTATCTAATATATTTTGATTAAATTGCAAATTCATAATTTCAAATATTGAAAATTTATTTTTATTACTCAGTCATCGCCGTACCTATAGATGACCGGACGCCTCCACTGAGAACTTGATGCCAGTGGATTTAGTGATAAAAAATGGAAACTACTTCTCCCTTTCATAAATATGAAACAAAGTGAATGGTAATACATACGGCATGTCATTTTCTTCGAAGAATGTTTGACGGAAACTTATGTAATAAACCCTACGCCGCAGACAGATCATTTTCACAATATATAACACAGTTGGATTAACATTGCTAAGATAGAAATCATTAAATGATCATGACATCATTATATTTAGTCTGCTTTTTAAACAAGTTCCAAGAAATTCTAGCAAAAATAATGTGTTTATCTTAGTTTCACTTTGTGTGTAGTGTATATTTATAACATGATCAAAAATTTATATTTTGACTAAGCATTTTTGCAAATATTCACGTTTAATAACCTCAAGTCAACATTTTGTAACAAAAGAGGATTATATATTTTCTTAATGTTGAAAAACTGTTTAAAAACTTACCATTAACTCAAAGGAAATTTTTGGTTTCAGAGAAATAATTCATTAACGTAAAAACGAATTTTCATAAAAAAGCATGTAATTATGACTATTTTCAACCAAGACATATTCATTAATAAATGTAACCTTTGACTATCATATATTCATTAAAACCTATTATATTAGTTTTTTATGGTACATTTTTTATGTGGCATAATATTTTAATACATAGTCATAATTCACTGAATTCTTTTAAAGTACATTCTCGCAAATAGCATTCCGAATATTTTTAATTGGATTGGATTGTTCACTAGATGAATTTTTCTTTGTACTTTTTAAGCACAGTAAACACATTTTTGCAATATCTTATGGTGCTCTATTGGGAAATGGTTAATAATTCCATTTTACTTTGAATCACTGCAATATTTTGCACTTTCATTTTGGTTTATTCAGTTTCTTCAAAAGAGAAGAGTTGTATCAAATGTATTTGACAAAGGAAAACATTTTTATGTCCAGAACGAAATATTAAAGTGTAGATTCAAATTGATTTTATTTTGAACTTCTGTAGTTTGTATGTTATTTTAACTGATACATTTTCAAACATATTTTGTGCTTTTAATTTCCATTATCTCAAACCCCTTGTGTAAACAAATATATTTTCAATTAATTAGATTTTCTATCAAGGTGATGTACACCTCATGGCACAGAGAGATGAAATGATGACTTTTATCTTCTGTTAAAGTACTAACCAAGTCTTCCTAAATTGCATTCTTCTTAGCTGTGATGGGGCGACAGTTCTTTTTTTAGTCAAGTTAGTTTTATATTTGAGATGAAGATATCATTTGCAAATTCTCACACAGTCTAATGAATATGGCAGTGGTAAATGTAATTTTATCTTGTAGGACTCTTTTTCTAATGTTTTGTTTATATTTATCATAAGATTTCTCATTTTCTGAACATCCTATTTTGTATTTTGTAACATGTGTCTGATGGTATCCTACCACTTAATTTCCCTTCATTCAAAATGCTATAAACAAAGTTCAAGAATTAACAATTCAGTTAGAAGATACTATTATTAAGCACTCTCAAAAGAAATTTAATTTATTTTGAAATTGAATTGAAATTGATTTGAATTTAATCTAAAATTTCATCCTGTGAAAGAAGTTCATAAAAAAATGAAATTCAATTCCTTTAAAGATATTTTACCTTATAGAATGTCCCATATAAAAAGCAAGACAGTATTTCATAAATCGTTTGTAAAGACTATGTCAAATATCCAGATTTGCCAACTTTGAAGAGTTTATAATGGGGGAATTGCTACTCTACCAATGAAAGTAATCAGATGAGATTCATCTATTATTAAAAATATAAAAGGATGATCAGCAGTAAAAATTACTGGGCGGGGAGGAAAAAGAGGTGCAGACAATGGAACCACTCCAACACCTGAAAAATAAGATTAGTTTACAAAGTACAGTTTACTAGAATGGATATAATTTTTCAACTCCCATATCATCATACAAGAATAAATGACACAGTACCAAAATTTGCCTTGGGGTAAATCTGAAGAAAATGTATTTAATAACAACAATATGTTGTATTTTTATAGATAATAAATAAGAAGAAATATATTTATTATGTAACTTTCAGAGGAGTGAAGTTAGAAAAGCTTGATAAGGAGTCTTGATACCAAAGGAGTGAAATGGGTATTAACCTACTGATATTGCTAAATATTTCAAAGAAAATTTAAGAATTTCGAAAATAATTTTTACCCGAGTTCATCATTGTAATCCTTTAAAATGAGATATTTGTTCATAATGTCACAATTGATTAGCATTGTTAATAGAATTAGAGTAATTATTCTACTTGTTTGCATTTCATTTATTAAAACTTTTTTTACTCGTTTATGAAATGACAGTGGTCAATAATGACCCAAGTTGCTTAGCATAAAGTGTATTCAAATGAAAAATGAAGTCATAAATAATATAAATTCTTAAACAATTCTATTTATGTAATAAGGATTTAATACTAGACTAGCGTACTAATGCAGATCTATCTTCTTTTCATAAATAATAAACTGCATAAAATAGTCAACTGCATAAGTGGCATAAAAGTATGCAAAAATATTGTGATCGGTGGTGAAAACCTACAATGAAATATTACTGCTCAGTATTTTAAGATCTCGTCACTTATCTCCGGAAAAGCACCATTCACGGTAAGTTGAAACTTTGCATTCTACTCGTTGAACCCCAAGGACAATGAAACCACAGTTTCAATGCACGAAATATTCTAGTTTTATTTAATCCACTTCGCATGCAATTTGGTAGAGTATAAGAGATTTATAAGACGATATTAGATGGTTGCACACATCTTCCTATGAATATCACGACGTCATAATTCTTGATTAGGAACGCGAACGAGCGGTCGACCTTGAACTCGATTGGCCTTTCCGGAGCTGATGGAGGGACGACCTCGACCTCTGAAATCAGAAGGCGATCGTCAAGTGGCGGTCCAGAGAAGGGGTCAAGCGATCGAAGTGCAGCAGTGCACTCACTGACTGAAAATGCGGCTCAGGGCAATTAGAAGCAATTCGGATAGTTTGCCATGAAAATAGAAAGTAATTGATTGGAGTGAGGCAAATAATTAATGCCTTAAAAAGTCCTTGATAACAAGAAGCCAGAGTTTGCTTTTTCAAACTTACTTCATGAAAGTATTGTAAACTTGTCAGATCCTCAAAAGATTAAACACAGCTGTCTTGTATTCACAAATGTTGATAAAATCCTACATCAGTGTGTAGAGAAAGTGATGAAATTATTTGACGATTCAAAACAAGAGATTAAGAGACAAATTGTACGGGTAAAGCCTCTGGAAATATATGATAACAGCACTAACATATCCACAAATTTGTGTCCAATCTCAGATAATTCGTCGATAATAAGTCACATCCGAAAAATGAATTATTACGAGTGAAACGAAGTGTTTTAGCTACTACCTGGATAATATACAGATATAGAGGAAGTGTGGACACATGCGGACAGGAAGAACATTAACTTGAAAGGTAAAATATTCTTACTTCAACAGATTTATCCATCTACTCATTTGTGTTGCCATTAATTGTCGCAAATGGAGAAAAAATATATTTAAAAAGTTAGTGAGAATTTATAATTTCCCGGTAATACTTATGTCATTAGTCCCGTAAATGTAGTGTGTGTCATTTCTTGGGAGAAAGTGGTGTTCTTCCTCCGTGGGGACGTGAGATCCGGCGGCGACCTGCATTCGCATCGTGGCATTTCCCTCTCCAGAAATCTCCCCCAGCGAAGACCGCCAAAACCGGGACAAATTCCAAGTTTTAGTGCGTGTGTTAGTTCGTGTCAGGGAAGAGAAGATATGAAGGATGAGGAAGGAAAAACCGCGCACGGTTCGAGGCCCGTTGGTTAGGGTAATGCACCAGCGTTCGCCTGCCGTAGATCGGAGAAACCACGGAAAACTACCATCAGAGCAGCCTGACACTGCAATGAGTGGTTGGATTCGAACTAGTTAAGTAGCTAGAGTTTAAAATCCACCACTGTCGGGACTAACCCTAGGACGATGATGTAGAGGGAGCAATGTTGCCACTGAGTTGTCGCAGTCTGCATTTCCCAGAAGCGAAGCAAACTACCATCTCAGCGCTTCCTCTCATTTCAAGGGAAACCCTCGATCTAGATAAGAGAGATGAATCCATAAAATACCACTTCTCACCCGGCAAACGCAGGGTACCTCATCACGAAATGTTAAGCGGCAATCTTCCATCTAGCTTGATAAATTACTCGAGAAACATGACACATAAAAGTCGGTTGTTCCTTGAGGGTGAGGCTTCTTTTTTTAACTTCTTTGGGGCCTCGCTATACAAGTATAACCCGATTCAAACACAATCACCACAAGGTCGCGAGCTGGACGGAGAGGGGAACACTCATCCAATCGCGAGCGTCTTTACAACTTTTTACAAGTTTTTGTATTGTAGCTCCTGATTGGATGACAATGCCCCACCCCCCTCTTCTCCCACCTCGTGGCCTTGAAGTGCCACTTCGTTGAAATCCGCGGATACATAATGGATCTACTACATCTGCAGCGGCCACAACACGACCGAAAAAACACATCAGTCGTCCTTACGCTAATGATAATATAAAACTTAATATCCTATGACTAAGCAACAAAGATCAAAATAAATTCAAAGAAGCAAAAAGTTCCTCCAATCATTGTGGAAATGCTGAGTCGCCGTTTGTACGGGCGTAACAAACTGCGAGTCACAGTGCTATTTTTGACGCAATTCTGTTCTTTAGCGACACAATAACCGGAGATGACCTTTAATTCAAATAGATGATGAGTTGTCATATATAACGAGAAGTTGTATCATCGTAATTGTTGAGTAGCTTTTCTAAAAAGGAAACTAAAAAGATTGTATTTTGATAGAGGAAGAAAAGGTATTAAATTTCCATGAAATATGAAAGATGCATGTACAAACACTGTTTCGTTTTTGTTTTTACAAGGAATCGAAGACGAAATGTGTTAAATTTACTTTTCTGTTTTTACCTACCAATTTTTGTGTCTTTTCCGATAACATTTTTAGTTCTTCATATTGTCCGGTCACTACCCTGAATTACATTTTTGTTGTTTCTGCCATTTCGTTTTCTTTTTCATTTCACTTCATGTTAACGATTTCATGAACAACAAAAAATGGTGAACAATTGCACTAGCATTTTTACACAATTCAGTAAACATTGCTATTCAGTGTTAACATAAACTAGGAGTAATTTCAGATGGAAAAATCACCACTGCAATTGTGATAATGAGAGCTATAATGAATTTATTTACAATATTGACCTTCAGAACCCTACATCCCACTAGAAAGTTTTAATTTTTCAATTTCGTCACTGTCTGCATATCGCTGCATTTTTATGTGCTTTTCCTAGACTCGAAGCGCTGTTATAGACTCGAAAGGTCATCAGCGTGATGCAGGAACAGTGAATGCACTTCAATTTTAGGAGTTGGTTGGCAGGCTTAGATTCTGGCGGCCAAACGTTTGAGGCGATCGCATGGTCATGTGAAATTAAATGCTCTCGATATTTGCACCCCAATCCCGTTATTCAAATTTGCTGTTTTTTTTTCGTTTGTGTCCGAAAACATTATTCTTTCTTCGACAATAGTTACTACAAATAATTGAGGAGAAGACGATTTTTTTTCCATCTGAATTGCCTCGATTGAATGTTGTTTGTGATGTAATGAAAGGAACCATGCTCATGAACAACTGTAGGGCAGTTTTTCTTTTATTAGGAATTTAATAAAGCAAGCATATGAGTGACAGAGGGCGTGCAGAGTCGGAGTAAGCATTAGGGGTTGTACCTCTGTAGCCTTATCGATCTACGCATTGTAGTGACCAACGAGGGTACTGAGCACAAGGCAGTCTACGCACAGTTGCCTCTTTCAACACCATCGACGAACGGTCTTATCAAAGATGGATCTAGGATGTTTTTATTTTGTTCTTAAAAATCAGTGAGAAGGCACCTAGTCCATTTCTAAGAAAGTAAGAAAATTAAAAATTATTCTACCAACAACCAAACAGACGGTTACAAAAGTTAACTTTTCTTGGGAACCAGCATTTGTGAAGTGTCATTTATAGAAATTAATTATGCCGCCTCTTGCATAGCCAGTTTTATCGCAAGGTAAACTGTTTTCACTATCACAATCATTATCTTCAGATCCGTTCTCTGAGGGCATATAAGACGGCGATTGTGAAGATTATGCTAACGAAAATGTTAGTTTATTGTGGAAGATTTGTTGTAAAAATGATAATATTTTAAATAACAACGTTGTTAAAAATGGCATCTATTTTTTCTTGCATTCAAATACAAACTCATTAATATACGAAGACTCACATGCCCAAGTAAAGAGCTGTTGTGGCTGCGTTCAGTTCTTTGCGAAGTCGACTTCAAGAACACGTAAATTCAGGACCGGCTACCTCGTCCCCTTCCAGATAAAACTGGAAGGTGACTATTTTTAAAGAACATTTTAGTAGCCATTATTCTTAAAACAAATCCCTTCTCAACTTTTCAGACTTTTGTCTGGCATATTTCTTTTAAAATATGGTTTGTTTAAAGTTCGTTTTCATTCAATTGAATCATTCATTTATTTAATGAATTCTGCTAATCTTGTCATTTTTATATTCTACTTTTTTCTGCTAATGTTCCATAACGCTGAAAATGAAATTTGGACACTTTTCTAGGGATTTTTTTGCTTTTCATTTTTTATATGAGTGAGTCTGGAAGATTTTCAATAGGACACAAGGAAAAACTTGACATCAGCGGGGCGGCGGCAGCCCCCATAACGCGCTTACCTGCTTAATGAGCGGTTTTCCTTACCTGTGTTGGTTCGCTCCGCAATTTACACGTAAAATTAGAAAGTAAGTTTCGCGAGAAAAGATGAAAGGATTATTTGGTTCCCAAACTTCACACAGCCCACGGCATTCCACCCCGAAAGGGAAAGTCCCAGGAAGTCTAGGTATACGGAGAGCCTGAAATAGATGTGAAAGCAGCGAGCCGCGACAAGCCCGCACTTTGCGTCGACGGTTTGAGGCAATGAGCGACCTCCCTTGTACGAATGAGTGAACATTCATTGCCCACTCATTTACCGTTAAGGGTTCTCTGTGAATAAGATTTGCTTCATGACAGCGGGTTCATGACAGCGGTGCCTTGTGCGGTTTGGGCTAGCCCTAGTGCCTTACTCCGACCTCGCCCGTGATTTCCGAGCGCTCTGCGCCTCACCTGTGGCTGCTGCGGCGACCGTGCCCTCCTCCGTCACCTCCACGAAGGCCTTTTGGATCACCTGGCTCACCGACACGCTCAAGTCGGTGATGCCCGACAGGTTGGCACCCGGCCCGAACAGGTCTTGAACGCCCAGCTGAGCAGAAAGAGGAGATTGTGAGCGCTGCTTTGAGGAGCGTTTATGAAGATCATTTGCTGCGTATATGCTGCTCAGAAGATAAGTCATCACTTATTAAATCTGTTTATGCAGTGTAAATTCCCATACCGCGAAACGTAAGGAAGAAAGTACGTTCTTTCGCCTGTTTACGTTACTTGAAGAGGCAGGTTATCATATGCAAGTAATTATAATATTTAGGTACTTTTTTCAGTAAGGAAATTTCTTTTACATAGATTACATGGTATTAACTCCATCCCAACAAATGTTGTGGTAGGAGTGGAGCCGGGGATGAGAGTTACTATTTTCTCATAAATACTCTTCTGAATTCTGTAGTTCGTTGTTTACCAATGCTAAAAAAATCTAACTCGGGAGCGACAAGATCCATTTTCAAATAGCACATTAAAACAAACCTTGCTTTCTTCAAATATGATTCAAATCTTTAGAGGTAAAGGCGGAGAAGGAATTTCAGAGATTAAGAGAGCGTGTGCAGATTATACGTCTCCCCCAAGCGGCCCATACAGTTTTCCCTTTGAATTGACAAAAAAAAAAAATAATAAAGTTGAAAGTGGCGTGGAGGATGGCTCACCCGGGGCAGCTTCTCGTGCAGCTGGAAGGTGCTCTCGATCTTGAACTTAGGCAGCGAGACGATCACCTCGCCCGACGACATCTGCCTGTTGATGGCGGAGAAGTTGAGGGAGGTGAGGCCTGCCTCCACGCGCGCCAGGCCGTCGACCTCGTCGGGCAGAATCACCCACATCTTCATGGTGCGGCCCTGCACACCCCACGCCACGCCACCACACGTCAAACGGGCATTGAAAACAGGTTCGCAAAGATTTCTAAGCCACCCCCTCATTCCCCCTTTTCTGTAACAACGCTTTAATATTTACAACTTCCCTGTGAAGACAGTTGAGTTTTGAATTATACCCCTGACCCTTATTATAAATGTACACAATTTAAAAAATCGTTAGCGAAATGGCGGAAAACGAAAGGACCAGGAATGAGAAGTGACCGCCAAGGAAGAAAGAAAAGTGACCCCCCCAAGGAACTGAAGTGACCCCCCCCAAGGAACCGAAATTACCCCCCCCCCAAGAACTGAATGACCCCCCCCCAAGAACCGAAATGACCCCCCCCAAGGAAACGAAGGTGACCCCCCCAAGGAACCGAAGTGACCCCCCCCCAAGGAACGAAGTGACCCCCAAGACCGAAGACCCCCCAGGAACCGAAGTGACCCCCCAGGGAACCAAGTGACCCCCAGGAACCGAAGTGACCCCCCAGGAACCGAAGTGACCCCCAGGAACCGAAGTACCCCCAGGAAACGAAGGACCCCCCCAGGAACCGAAGACCCCCCAGGGAACCAAGTGACCCCCCAAGGAACGAAGTGACCCCCCAGGAACCGAAGTGACCCCCAGGAACCGAAGTGACCCCCAAGGAACCGAAGTGACCCCCAGGAACCGAAGTGACCCCCAGGGAACGAAGTACCCCCAGGGAACCGAAGTGACCCCCCAGGGGAACCGAAGTGACCCCCCCCCAGGAACCGAAAGTACCCCCCCCAGGGACGAAGACCCCCCCAGGGAACCGAAGTGACCCCCCCCCCAAGGAAGAAAAGGGGCGTGGCCCACCTGGTATGGCAGCTCGAGCAGGCGCGCGCCGAGCTCCGGCAGCACCGCGTAGCGGAAGTGCGAGGTCACGTGCATCATGGGCACCGACACCTGCGACGACGCCGACACGTGGAAGGGCTCGTTGCGCGTCTCGCCGTCAGCGAAGGGCTTCTCCCACGAGCCCTTGAAGTAGATGGCGTTCACCACTACCATCAGCGTCGAGGGGTCCAGCTTTTCTGCGACACGCAACACACCGCTCCCTCAGCACCGCGTTTCCCTAAAGCTGCATTTTGCGTCTAAAATTCAACTTTAATGGCGAAGTTGTAATAAGTCGTTACCGTTCCCTCTGGCGACGACCCTTCCAAAGGAAACAAGTGGTGCTACAACACGTAATGACTTTACACATTAGTGACTGGCGGCGGAAATCTCCGTTCTGTATCCAACGGCGGATCCAGCCGATCATTTTGAAGGGGGCCATGGCAAATTATTGTTAAATATTTTAAAATAATGTTATTAAAATGTTATTTTTGTAGTGTATACATGATACTGTACAATCTTTTTAAAAACATAATTACATAATTATAATAAATAATTGAAATACATATTTATATCCAATAAAGGAAAGTAACAAAGGAAATCTAAGCATTTTGGAGGGGACATGGGCCCCCTGGCCCTCCCCTGGATCCACCAAGGTTCTATATTAACCATGACGCGTTGCCCGCTGAGAGAAAATTCGGGCCAAGGTTTCTTTTTCTGCATTTTGATGCTATCTACAGGTGACTACACTAAACTAATATGTGATGGGCATTAAGTAGGCACCGAACGTCTATTATTTACGTTGTCCAGATTTCTCCACGAAATTCAATAATAAACATAAGTTTGTTCTTGAAATAAGTGGGCGGGAAGAATACGTAGTGAATGATGTGCTATCAAATGACATCGAAAGTCTTTGTGAAATGTATACAATAGTGATTAAGGTCTACCGAGAATTGATAATGGCTTCTCTTGTAGCGATTGTTAAGTGACAAAACAATTCTGTACCTCAGAAACCATGTGGCAACGAAGACGATCCAGTAAATATTTCTAATTTAGCACGATTAAGCGGAGAATGATTTCCAAGTCAATAATAAATTTAAAAACTAAAAATAATAAAAAATAAATCTTAATTTTCAGTTGTGTTTAGATTGATATTGAACCTTTTGCTTGTCTATAGCTCGTCCTCGCCGTACCGAAAGTGTCCGGTCCCCAGGGGGTACGACATGCGTCCGACCACCGTGTCACCAATATGATAAAAGAAGTCTTAGGCTTTCGCTTTGTGAGTGCTCTTGACTGTCCGGGTGACGGCGAATACTGATGTCGATGTTTCGACTACCTTGTGATATTCCTAAGGGTTGGCCTGCAGGACAGCACATCGTCATCACAGCCTTCAATGCGGCGTCGCCCGGGTAGCCAACAGCACTGAATACCTTATTTGTGATGATGTAATTTCGTAGTTTTGCAATTTTTCCTTCTAGTACCGTTACTTTACCCATCTTTTAAAAACGATTAGATACCATGAAGATAGAAATATCTGGCTTGAATATTTGCGAAGTAGAACACATCCAAAGAAACCGTTGTTTTCTAATTTTGAAAAATTTGAATGATTTTTCATGAAAATAGGATCTATAATATACTTCTCAGTCAATTTTTCTATCATAAATTAAACGGCACGCTAGATTTTTGGCAAACAGCTGAAGCAGACGTATAAATGAAACATGGGTTTATGTAGTTTGCATTAAGAAAGATTAGCCAAACGCCAATTTGATAGGGTCTATTTGACTCAGCTTTCATCATCTCTGATTAACATAGACCGTTTAGTCTGAACGTAAAATTTCCACTTTACTCAACAAAAGAGGAATATCTTTGATCCCTTCTCTCTCAGACCTACAATGAAAATAAGCAGTATGTTTCTTTGGATCAGAACATTTCAGCCTATCCAATTTTGTACTGCCCTCACAAGACTCCATAGTTAGCGAGTTCCTAGTAGAATGACCCGTCCTCTTTATGCCCTCCATTCTACTTAAAGTTGATTTGGTTCCCACCATCTCAACAGCTTTCAAAGATAGCCCGTAGACTCATCTCCGAATTTCTTATCGAGATAGATGGGACCTGCTGAGGTCCCTAAGAGGAGCCATCTAAGTTAAACTAGCAGCTATTGGATATTGCATGCCTTCCTGTCTGGAGGGGAAAGAACCAGTTTTTCAGGGTGATGCTCAATGGTTGGGTTTGTCACATCATACTACAACACAAGTGCATTAGACAATGGATTGGTTTGAGTATGAATCGTGCACGTCTCAAACCGTGCACTCTCAAAATGCCACCAGGACGGACAATGATGTTATACACAATAGATAAACCTAATCCTGCCACACCACTTAGGTAAACAATGAGATTAGGAGGTCTTCCAACCCGAACGTTGTCAAATCCAGCTCGCTACTGCATTTCCGCCAGTTCCGGCTTACCATTTGGGCATTTCTACTTAATTCAATACGTGTATTTCAAATGTGCGTTTCATTTATCCACACCACTTAGCTACGTGTTAAAAAATAGTCGCCGAGGCGTGGAAGTGTATATATTACTCAGGAGTTCGCGGATCTTGTTGTCGGTGATCTGCTCCACCCAGCGGTTGATGGTCTGGCGGGAAGCCTCGTTGTCGTGGACGAAGTCCAGCTCCTGAGCGTCTGCGCGGAACTTGTCGACCGCCGTGCTCCTGAACGGCGCCTTTATGGTGGCGCCCGTCTTGGTGTACACCTTGTTGGCGATGCGTACGATCGTCGCGTTGTTGCTCTGTCAACATCAACATGGACGACACTCGCTGAGCTGCTGAGATTTAATCGCGGTACAGAATAACTCGGAATAAATGTTACCATCTTCTCAGTCATGTTGGGGGTAGAAGATGATAACATTTGACAGTGAACATATAATGCGATAGTTCTTATAACGGTATTACACATGCCATATCTGCCCCTGAGTAAGGCATCGTATCATGCACTGGTGATTAGCAGGTATGCTAAATCTCTTTGTTAGACTGACCTGCCAAACACGCAGCACAGTAGATTTTTAAAACGTCACCAGACGTAAAATTAAATTTCAATAACAAGCGCTGTTCAGCAAAAAAACATTCTGTATTCACTCACATGAAAGATAAGGTTTACTACTTATAAATTACTTATCTTTTTAATGTGGTATTTATAAATTTATAATTTTTCCAGCTATATTGTTGCGCCATTGTGTTGAATAATTCGAATTTGTGGATGTGTGATTGCCTGAGGGGATTCTGAAAGTCCTTTACTGATCAACGCATAGCAGCCGTTAAGGCCAGTGAAGGCCGACACCAGCAACGTAGCCAGATAGCGAGAGCAAATTGGACGGGGCAGAGCCGGTTGCAGGCAAATTCTTCTTGAAGCCTTGAATACTTTTTTTTTCAGTCACGATCGCGACGAGATCCATTAACTTCATAGAATAATCGGGGGGGGGCGAGTTAACTGCAGGCCTGCGCAAATCCCCTTGGGGCCGTCTGACGTCAGAGGTGGAGAACAAGGAGGAAGGGGGCGGGGCCAGCTTACCTCGAGGCCGACGAAGAGCTCCTTGAAGCCGTCCTTGATGACGTCGCCGTCGGCCGGGAGGCGCAGCGCCGCCTGCAGCTGCTGGGCCGTGCGCCCGCCCGCGCCCTGCAGCACCAGGGCCAGCGCCGCGCTGGCGCTCATCGGCGACACGATCAGGTTGCCCGGCTCCGAGCGCAGCACCTGCAACACGAAGAGCAGGCGCAGTTGCAGCGAAACTCAGACCAGCGAGGTGTCTTCCATTCTCCTATCTTCGAGCCCTTCTGCAATAGTGCTTCATCGACTGACTGATTTTTTTTATTTACAGCACACAATATCATTGTAACTCAAATAATGACACATAAATGATACTTTTACTAACCATTCGAACAAATGTGTAAAAATAGCTTTGTTTCTTTAATTGTTTGAACTACGATCATTTTTATGTAGTAGATTTCGAAATATATTCTAAATGTGCCAGTATTTTTCGGTCATCGCGCCCTGAAAGTGTGCTTCATCCATCGCCGGAATTTTTTAGTAATTTATTCGCTCAATATTACTGTAACTCAAATAATGGCACGTAAATGATAATTACACTAACCATTCGATCAAATGTGTAAAAATAGATTTTTTAAAAATTTTTTTTGAACTACGATCATTTTTAATATAAAGTCGATTTCGAAATATATTCTAATTGTGCAAGAATTTTTCGTTTATAAGAATATTACGTTCCAAAACCGGATTAAATTTACAACGAAAACATAATATAAGCAAATAATAAATATCAGAAACTAAATATCAACTTTGTTAATTTGTTTTGCAATGAATGGTATCTCGATCTAAATTGCACCGATCAGTCGCAAGAGTTAACTCGGCATTCGACAGACACTCGACCACTTGATCCTCACCGACTTCATTATATTATCGATCCGTCGGGGGTCAACACTGACCGCATGGGAAACCCCTGAAGTATACACTCGAAATTAGTTGTATGAACGTACTTCAAGGCTTTATAACATTAACGAACTTCATTTATTCCGACTGCAAACAAATTATTATATTAAAAGCATAATGATGTTCACTGGTTTTGTGAAATTTAAAAATACATATGCGTCGCGTAAAAGACGAAAAACCTGTGTGAAATGCTGAAAACAATGCTTATTCATTGAAATGCAAACTGTAGATCATATTCTTCAAAGTTTTTTATAGACAGCACTAAAGCTAACCTAATTTTTGTTAGAGTAAAACTTGGATTATCCTGGCGAGAAACGCACGAAACATTTTGCTATTCTATTGCGACAACTCTATAGTAAAACTGGGATCGATCAGAGAGATGATTCGGATGGGCGGAAATTAAGGTCATTAAATTAAGCAGGAAATTATGTAAAAGACTTCGTCAGTCATCGTGAAAAGTCCACTATCTACAAAACTATGTTCTATAAACTACCTCTGAGAAATAGTCAATGGGCTCTTAATGTTTTCCACATTTGAAAGTTTCCACCCTATATAATTATCTACATTTGCTGTGATGACAATTCCATCATTCTCATTATAACACACTGTAATATGAACCTTACCAACGTTTTCTTTAAATAAAATTAAAAGTGTAGTTACCAATACTTCAAAAAACTTATCCGTAAATTTTTGAACTAATTAAAAATTTATTTATCTTTGTACTTACAAAGCAATATTATCCTAAACAAAACATTACAAACCAAAGAACACTACTCTATTTCAAGAAAGCATATTCTTGAAATGCATTACAATTTGGCAATTTGTGATTGGTATTGAATCTTACATTTTTGTTTCGTTTTACGAAGTATTACTTTTTTCCAATTTTTAAGCCATTTCAACATTTTCCACCAAATATAATTGATAGTCTAGATAATCGAAGTTCAGGTGTGTCCTTCGTTGCATTATTACAAATAATCTGCCCCCACTCGAGAGCTCCCAGAAATGGTTTCTACTGAGAAAGTCAATGTCATGATGGTATATTAAAAGTTCATCTAATGACGGTGCATTACTCTGAGAAATAATAAACTTATACTCTCTGATGATCCCAGCCCGAACCTTCCACGAACTTCCAACGTCATCCACGATCTGATGTAGCAATATGCTTTCCTCACAGGGGAGACGATCGCCTTGGCAAGAGGCACGAACACAATGAAGTACGCTATTTGCACCGAGATTTTCCTTTCAAGGAAATGTCATGCTTTCTTCGAACATCTCTGGACCTTGACGTAGCTAATACATCTAAATACACACAGCCTGAAAGTGAAAGGCATTCGCCGAAGACTTGCAGATGCAAAAGACTCTTCGTCGCAAACAGTGACACTACCTGTCGTCGCAGGCTTCTGCCACGCCTCGGGAATGAAATAATCGACTCCGATTGCGTTGTAACTCAGGCCGAGTCTAGCTTCACTCTCTCTCACACTCTGTGTTAGGCGTTGTTGAGATTTATGAGCGTATGATTATTGCCACTGGCGGGGAATGGAGACAGGAGGAGAAAATGAAGGATTCCACGCTGGTCATCACAAGTTGCGAAAATATCAGCCTCAATATATTAATTATATCGCGTTTCCACGCGTGTCAACTGCTAGTGTCATTAGTCTTAAGAGTGGTGCATGTTTAATCTGGCTGGTAGCAGTGTTCTTTCGCAGCTGGATGGTGAGATCACGAGCAGACCTACAAGTCGCCTTGCAGGGTTTTCCTCATCCAGGTATCTCCAATCACGGAGGCAATGCCCCCACCAGGACAAGCTCTAGGCTCCCGACTGGCCTTCCCATACGTGTGGTAGAGTAATGCGTGTAACTGTGTGTAAATGAGCGGTGAGAGTAGATCAAGATAGAGAATGGAGAGATTGAGTACTGTCCGTGACCCATTTTAAGGATCCTGCTCCGACATAATACATTATATATATATATATTTATTATATATATATAGTTTCTATATTTATTATTTATATATTAATTTTTTATTATATATATATATATATATATATTTTATATATTTATTATATAAAACTGAAGGAAACTGGAAGTTTCCTTCAGACATCGGCTAAATTAGCTAGTGTCAAAACACCTGCCTCCATAGGAAGGGAGCAAGTCTCCACGGCAGGGTTTTAGACACTAGCTAGAGAGCTGGGTCAAATTGACAGACTGAAGGAGAACACATACGACCAAATGCTCTGATCGGTAGTTTTGCGTGGCTTCTGCGAGCTATACCAGACAAATGTAGAATCAGGGCCTTAAAAACGTCACGAATGATACATGATCTTTCCTTCCCTCATTCTTGTCCCCCTTCTCTTTTTACACACCGACACACGCACCCACGCGATACACACTCAGGCACTACCCTATCACATTTATGTCATGAGATCAGCTTGCTCCGGCTAGGGCCCTGGCGGAGATACTTTGAGGGAAAACACCGCATGCTGACGTGTAGAGTTCTCCTAAGGTATCTGTGCACAACCATCAAGAGCGAGGCTATAGAAGGAAAATCTTGCACTTCTGCAGTAGAGACCTCCACTCAACAAAATTGCTGTCCACAACCAAATGCGAGGGTAGCCCAATGCGAGCTAGGGTGTGTAATCACCGAGAATGTGTTGTGTCTGCATTAATAATTTATATCATAGGTTACCACCGCACACGCGACCTTCGACGCACTGTTGCCAACCCGCGAAGAGCCAGATCTTGATTATAGAGTCTTGTTTGCCTAATTGGTGACTTGGCTTTTGTTTTATCTCGGATTGCACGGAATTTAGGATAAGCGAGGCTCGATTTACCGCGACTACTTTAGATGAATTCAGCAACTGTCTGGAGGAGAATTATAGCGGCTATAGGCCATGATAGTTTTCTGTGATTTCTGCAATCAATACTGACGAATGATGGAGCAGCAACTTAGAAAAAAGGGCCTCAGACAGCGCGCGATCTAGTTTAGAAAAAAAACATCACTAATTGTGGCCGATACGAAACTTTACACATTTCTGGTGCTCAAAATGGTCGGCACAGATACTCAAAAATGAATTTTTACTTTATTTTTTTGTTTAATTCCGAAATGCCTTCCCTTTATCTTTTAACACCGCAATTGATCTATGGACAAAAGATGGCAACTAGCCTTATTGACATTTCATACCAAGATTTTTTCACATTGTAGCGACCAATCTGATTTGGTTGATTTGATAGTACTGACATCGAAAGTTCTTCTTTTCCCCTTTCAACTCTCGCATCCAGCAATATGGCATAAAGTACATTTGCGAGGATTACAAATGAAATATTTTCATTAACTTTCTGAGAGTACCTGAATGACCAGTATGTAGCTGGTACAGTGCACAACGGACCGACCAGAGCCTTATGTAAATCTCAAGGATCCTAGACAACAACACTATGGGTTTCGCAATTATTAAAATATATGTATGCAATCAAAATGATCGTGATAATAAACTATCACCCTTCGTATTTTAAAAATACCTTTTAATAAAATTTAAAAACGTTTCACTTTTCAATTATTATAAAATTTGGTTGAAAATATAATTAAAGCTTAGCGACAAGATTGTTGCCCCTGCATTATCACTGACAAGGGATAAAGTTCAGACTATAACGGATTTTCGACAGAAGATGGATAACCTAATCGAAGTCTAAAGGAGGATAATTATATTAGCAGACTTCTCTAATCAGACTTTTTCGTGTCGTCTCAGATCAATTCTAGGCGAATACTGTAACCGTGCTGTAACGAAGGGACCGCGGACGCGCGATCTTTCCTTCCTCATTGTTACATCTTCCCTTAAACACACACACACACACACACACACACACACACACATACATACATACATACACAATACCCTCAGTTTTACATTCCCTACACTACCACACTTGTCACGTGGCCAGTGAGCAGCTAAGTGCTTGACTAGGCTAGGACGATGCCCCGCTGCGGAATATACTTTGAGTTGAGGAATCCACAATCTGTGGGGCTGGTTGACGCCGAATATCACGATCCAAGGGGAGAAATGCCATTACCTCCCAGGACAGAACGTGCACTACACTTACAGGACTGATGCCTTCGGATGTTAACATGCCCGGAAACAATACTATTCATACACTCAATACAGCACAATCCCTATGCCTTGGATCTCATTGTTTCAAAAAAGGAACAGTCAATTTCAAAGTGTTTTTTCTTATCTCAAATATTATTTTGCAAATATT